GTTTCACTTTTTGACTTTGTCTTTTATGTTAAGTTTTGCCTAATTTTGTTTGTCTTCCCCACACTGCTTTTGTTTGAGCAACTTCTTCACTGTTTCTTCTTGACTTTTAACCTTTCTCATTGGCATTATTTGTGCAGTTTGTTTTTTTTTAATCTTTGGTTATATTAAATACTTGCCTAATTTCTCCAGTTGAAAAATCTTCAGACTTATTCTGCCTTTCACTTGCGTTATTTGATATCATGGTCCTAAACTCTCCCTCTACTCCATCATGTACGTGTTTCTTATTTGGAAACAAGTTTTTGCTTCCTCATCTAATTATTGCCCTACCCCATCTAGTTTTTTGACTGATATAGTTCTCTTTGCAGATGCTGAAGTTTATCTGATGGATGGGCTGCAGAATGAGAACCTGAGTGCAAGAGCAAGAGAAGAGAGAGAGATGATTCTTTTCAACTTCCAGCATATCAAAGCCAGGTTTGTAATTTCTGCACCAAGTTCTGATGGGAGCATTTCCTCTGCAGGCAGCAGTGCTGGGATTCTAGGTCCACACCAGCAAAACTGCAGGTCTTGGCACCCAAACTCATTGAACAGATTTAGCAGTTGCATTTGGGTGGCATTCTCAAAAGTGCCATTGGATAAATGAGCATGTGAGCAGCAAAAGGGGGGCAGGGTGTAAGGGTGATTTTACCTAAAAGATTTTATTTAGAATTCAGGCATGCAGATGGTGGTGGGCCAGTAGGTTTCTCTTGCCTGCTCCAGGACTGGGAGGGAACACTCAGGTGGGGGTGGGGGGTGCCTCTGGGCACAGAGGGAAAGGGAGGTGGGTAAATTCTTACCTGATTTGGATTGAAAGAAGTCCCAGGCTACTGTTCCTGCCAGGTGGTCAGTACAGGGGGGTGTGAGGTTGAACCACTGCACCCCCTCTGGATCTGTCCCTGCACGGGACTCTAAATGATGCTCTTTCCAGACTTGTGCAAAATGGCACATGAGTGGAATCCTTCCTGTCAAATACTTTTTTCCATTTTAAGCTCTGTGGGGTAGGGATCATGTCTTTTTTTGTGTGTGCGTGCAGATCCTATGACACAGGTGTTGTCAGAAACAAGTAATAAAATGAATATTATTCTTTACTGGAAGATTTTGCAAACAGGCATGTGAGTGAATATTCACCATGTAGAAAATTTGCCCTTCTAAATACTGTTGGGATAGTGAGCCTAGAGGCCTGCCCTGCCACGCTGTTACTAACAGGGTGTATTTTTGGAAGTGTGTACTTTGATCTACCATTGAGATAAGGAGCCATTTTCAGTGTTAAGGTTCAGGCATGAATTTCTATTCCAAAATGCCCTACTCCCAGAATTTTGAGGGTGCTATTTTTTTGGGTCCATGATTTTGGTACAGGACCAAAGTATGGTTTAAATAAAACTGCAGCCAAGTCCTTGAAAAGCAAAGAATTTTGTCCTTCGGAAGGGCACAGCCAGATTCTATTCCCTACTGTCCCTCTGAAGAACTTTGCAAGATGCCCTGCTGTATCTTAATCGATCCTTCCTGCTGGCTAATTAAGCATCAGTTTTACTCAGCAACTCGGGACTGTGTAATTATCAGCCTGGGTTGTCCTGAATAACTGAAACAAGCCAAATGCAGGAGAAGATGGAAGCCTTTGAAAAATGGGGCCTGCATTTTATACATGTAAAATAATGTCCATAATATTGCAAAAACAAGTGCTTTCCTGTATATTAGGAACAGGCTGGTAGAATTTGCCTGAAACACCCCACCCCTATCGGGTGTTTATCCTGCTGGGAGAAAATTAAGGGCTAAATTGTCAGGCACAAAATTGTCAGGCACATTCTGAAATTGTCAGCCACCCAGAAATTAAATTTGTGGTCCTTTTATTTGCCTTTATGGCATTTTAGGTTTCATGTCTTCCAGCTTTTCTGTGCTGCCATGGCACCATGAAACTTTTTAAATGAAAGCCGAGACACTGGGCTTTATTAAAAAATACCAAATAACCAGAGACTTACAATAAAAATGTGCGAGTTGGCAATGCTGGATTGTTTTGTTCGGTTACTGAGGCAGGCTATTTGTTACCCTACCCAGTTAAAGAGATGGGAATGATTCTTTGGGGAATAGAGGATCTAGGGTGTGGGCTGTTAAGCCATGAGGGGAGCACCTTCTGAGCAGAAAGCATATTGTTTCTTTAATAACAAAGCAGTAAAAACTGTGGATAGGGAATGAATATGACCATGCTGTATTTTTGGTGCATTTTGGAAAAAAATCACTTGCCACAGTAAGTTTTTTAAATTCTTAGTTACCTGCATTCTCAACAAGTGAAATATTTAATACTTAGATGCTAACATAGCTATATTTTTTAATGCTCTGGGAATACAAAAGTCTGTGTTCAGAGATGTACTTTTTTTTTTTTTTTACAGATAGTCTTTTTTGTAATGTAAGGAAGGTTGTTCTGAACTCCAGCACTACAAGGGAGATGGGAGGTGACTAACAGTGTGTTGTGCACATTAATACCATCGTAAGCGGCACCTTTTTTAAGTGTCAAAGCAGTTGAAAGAAAGCGTGATTTCTATATGGCTGATGTTCAGAAAAATGACTCTGCAACTCAAGTTACCATCTCACAGGGGTGTACGTCTACGTGTACAGGTCTATTTCAGTGGCACTGCCTTTCTCCTCTTCCTGTGTTAGGAGAGAGCATTACATTTCTTTTATGACTACTGAGATAATAGAATTGGTTTTAAGTTTCAGTTTAGAGGACAATTCTGCTGTCATTCCACAGATGGCATCCAGTTGGAGAGCGCAGCAGACACCAATGGGGATGTAACTGTGATGGTGTTTGGTCTGCAGAATCCTTGCTTATGGGGTTGATGCACCGGTTAATGAATCTAGCTTTGACACTGAGATCCTGAGTGTCAAGCTGAGTAGCCAGAGCTGTTAATTAGAAATACCATTCATTTTACTTGTTAAACAGGGCAAATTTGGTGCTCGGGTGCTGAGGTCATCCATCTCTTTAATTTTGAGCCTCTCTATGAAACTGTTCAGCGTAAGTATGGGTAGAAAAACACTGAGACAGTATAACATGGGACCTGTGATGCAACTGTCTGAGAAGTGACTTCTCAGTATTTGTCTGTCTTTTACTATATACTATATAAAGTATAAAAGAAGTCTTCCGCATGATTCTGTTAATCTCACATATTGCTTTGTAAAGTTAGAGAAAGTTTATGGTGCGCTCTTTTCTCTGCATATGGGTAAACACGTGGGGGCCCAATCCTACAGTCTTTGAAGCTGCTGTAAAATTCTTGGTAGCTTTAAGCAGAGCTGGTCTTTGATGCCAGTTACAAACAATTCTACCAGAAGAAAGCAAAAGTCCTCAGTCCAAGTCTGCAGGGCATTGAAAGTTTTCTAGTGGTATTTCTTGCTGGGTATAATTTGGGAATGGAAGGAGAAGTCTATGAATGTTGTTTTTCTGACCTGAAGAATTAAGAAAATGATTTGTGGTAGCAGATTACTGTAATAATAGCCACCATGTCTTTTAAAGTATCTAAGCAGGCTTTGCTGCAAGCACAGTGCAGGTTCATCTCTTCAGGGAGTTTGCCGTGGTTTTTGTGGTAGGTATTCAGGAAATCGTTGGTAGTCATGTTCAGGAAGCAACTGCATCTTTGGCGCAGGCCTTGCATTGTCTGCTTTTCACCTCTTTGTTTCATGAAATATAACACTGCATGTAGAATTTCATTATTCAGATTTATAATGGAGATAAGTAACGTGTCTAACAGTCAGAGAGATGCATCTCTGAAAGGGAAGGGGCCTCAGACCACGTAATTATTCCAAGCCAGGTTTAATAACTGTTCCTGTAACTTGGCCTGCAGGTCTTTATACCCCTCCCTTTCCCATGGCCTAATACTGTTTCCCCAAAGGGAGTTTTTTGCTCTTGACTATAGTGCAAGCAATGCTGGACCTTCTGTCTGCAAGTGCTGCTGTGAGGATGTATTGTTGTCTACCTACTGCAGGAAGTGCAGTCGGAAGGAAACAGAATTATTTTTGCAGTTTGTAATTAGCTGTGAGGCAGTTTGTCATGGTTTAGTTTGAAACATAGTTTAAAAAAAGCATGTGGCGGAGGGGCTTTTGCTTTCTGACTTGGTTATGAAGGCTTGCATTCTCTATTTTGAAGAATGCATTTGTCTATTTAAAGAGATGTCATTTTGAAACAATCTATGTAAACGGTAGGTAATTTTGGTTCCCATTCGAGCCCCGTATTTCTTAAACGTGTGCTTGTGCACTTTGGCCTGTCAAGCTTGCATGGTTTTGCAATCAAATTAGCTTTTGTGTATCTTGCATACAGCAGAATAAAGTCACAGAAGTTTGAAGAAGTGACAGCATCATATGCTAGTATGTGGACACGTGGCACGTCATCTGTTCCCCCTTAACTCCCCTTTGGGTGTTCTCTTAATGTGCATTAAGAGTCTCTCTGTGAGAGATCTCACTCCACTCTCTGTGTACCTTTCACTCAGGATTCTTGAACACAAGGAGAGTAATTAGAGTGTATAGTGACTTCACATCCTAGCTAATAACTTTCCTGGGTGGATAGGCCCTTACAAGAGAAGAGAGTGTAGCACCTAACATCCAAGTCCCACTTCACCTCTAAGGCATTATACTTAGGTGCCCAAGCAGAGTCCTATTCCACCTTGTAAAAGTCCCTGTAAAATTAATTACAGTAAAAGCTGTGTTATCCAGCACTTTACCATCCAAAATGCTCTATTAACTGGCATCTGTCATAGACGGCAATACAAATCTTCCTTCATGTACCCAGAAAAATTCAAACAGCCATCTGGCATCTTGCCGTGCACTTCTCATAGATCTGTTGTTTATGGAAGCTTCAGGATGCTGGTGAGCGGTGTCACTAGTGGCAGTATCAGTTGTAAACATCCGCCATCCACCACTGTGATCGCATTGTGCTTGTGCTGTATTGTGACTTTACTGCTGAATATCTCGCCCATCCTGCAGCTATGGCTACCAATACTCCATCAACAAGCAGAGGACAGAAGTGAAAGCTAACCATAAGTATAACTCTTAGATAACCAGCATATTTGATTAACTGGCATCCCCCCATTCCCCATGGATGCTGGATAACAGAGCTTTTACTGCAATTCAAAAAGTGGGTGGGTCCTTCTTCTCTTTGCTGCTTTGTATAACTTAATCTTAACGCTAAGAGGAAGGTGAGATATAAAATTTGACATGTTTATGGTTTTCAGAGGACTTGAACAGGGTGGAAATATAGTTGCACTTAAGACTTGGACCCACATTCACATTTTCCTGGAGCCCAAAGGGATCGCAGGGGTGGCAGCCTGTAAGGGGATTGTCATGCCTGCTACCTCATATGTTGGCTTGGCTCCCCTGGGAGCCTCTCAGCCAGCCTTCTGGATACAAACAACAGTCCTCGCCCCAAACAAATGCATAAAGCAAAACTTTAACCT